AGATAAATCATCACATCCACCTCATAAATTCCTCATCTCTCATTTGAGGTAGCTAGCCAACACCATAAAGAGTGTTTGATGTTACTGAGGACCCAATCAAAAGGTAGGTTATCCCCTTCAAACGTTCTTCTATTTCGCTCCTTTCAAATCTCCCATTTATAATATTACCAATCTTTGGTAGATTCGATGATGGAAGTTGTGTGATAATGCCTAAAACATTTTGAGACAAAGGCACACTTACTCTCAAAAACAAGAAAACCAAGTCCAAATCCTAGTAGCAAAATGGCAAAGTAAAAATAAATGGACCCCAAACTCTGCATCTTCCTTGCATATCAAACTGATATTTGGTAAAATTTTCCCTTTTTTTATCAAGTTATCAATGGTGAGGATCTTATCCTGGGCAGTCAACCATATAAAACTTGAACTTAATGATGTACCGGCCACTTCCAAATTTGGGCTACTTGTGGCAAGGTCCATCGCCATCTGTCATGGAAAAAAAATCTATAGCACGATTTGACCGAAAAAGCTCCCTCGCTTTCAATCTCCCATGTGTTCTCATCTTCCAAATTATGTGGGATATACACTTTGCGCAAAATATCCAGCAAAGAGCTTGAATGTAGAATTAGAGCATCACTAAACTTATTGTAAAAACAATTCACACTCCAAATGACATGATTACTTATTCCTTCAAAAACCTCAGACACCTTCGCATTTGGGTTGATCACTCTCTCAAAAATTTCGGGAAACATAAGCTTTAGAGAATAGCTCTCAACCCACATAAGGTGTCAAAAGGCAATCTGATCCCCCCTACCAATGTTCCATCTTAAATTCCTAGCGATCAGAGGTTGCATGCAAAGAGCAATTGATTTCCAACAAATGGATGTGTTATTCCCTTGGTCAGTCCCTAGCCACAGTTCTGTCTTTCAATGCCATATTTTGCTGCTAGAACTTTGAGATGCACCTTACTTATACAAACCTCGCCCCTTTAATCAAATGTCTCAGATCCAAGCATTGACCTGAACACTATTCTATCGTAGAGACATTTCTTCCAAAATATCAAAATAGAAAATATTTCTTCCCGTATAAATGCGTCCCCTTCTGCTTAGCTATATATATAGAAGGTCTTTATGATATTATCCTCGGCACATGATAATCTTATTCTGAATTTTTGCAAATGGATCTGATCTATAACTATACCAATAATGTTAAACAAAAATTATAGGGATATAGGACTGGTCTTGGAAGTTAGTTCCATTCTCTTGCTTTATCATTAATATTTTATTAATTCATCGAACTTTTTTTGATATAGAATTTGATCCTAATTTTTAGGGAATATATAATCTTTAACATGGGAGATTATTAATCTGTAAAATTAAATAAATTTTAAAAACTGGAAAAGATTTTTTTGGAGAAAATAATTGATCTATTGATTTTATTTTTTCTTTGGAGGACTATTATTCATGGGACCTGATTTTGGTGGACGGTGTAGATCTCCAGACCTGCATGGTAACAGTTCAGGCTTGGACGCACCAAACAATTTTCCTTTCTGTTTTGCTTTTAGTTTTTGGGGTTTTTAGGAGGACTTTGTAATTTCATGGGATGATAGAGAGAATGAAGGCTTCCATGTTGTCCAGGCTCCAACTTTGATTTAGGTATGATTTCAAAGCAGTCACATGATTTATTTAATCTTAATCAAACCTTATATGACCCAAAACTAATAACATCTGAAACAGGGGCAGCATCCAAATTTTTGAATTTTGTTATAAGATACCCTATGATGTAGTTTCATCCTGCTTAACCTTATGGCACAAAGGAGAAGCATGAAAAGCATACAATAAAACTACTTACTTTTGGTACACATTTTGGCTACTAGATGTGAAATTAGAAGGCAAGGCTTTCTATTAATTGGGCGCAAATTTCACAATTTTTTTTTAAAACTTTGTGATACACTCCAAGCTGTCGGATTTTACATCTAATTGTTGTAGGTGATTGTGAGTCTCAAGATTGGTAACATTTGAAACCATAATAGCGACCAATTGAAGTTATCACAGCAAAATATCAAGCCTCCCTAAAGGAAATGAGAATTATGGGAAATTTAGAAAAATATTAATATCTTAGGGCATATTTGGTATGCATGAAAATACTTTCATGAATGTATTTTTTACATGAAATAACTCCCTCATGATTAAGTATGTGAATTGTTTTTACACCAATTGGCTGCAACGCATTTTTTCACATCAATTGGCAATCAATTGATGTGAAAAAAACTCCCACACCTAATCACATGGAGGAGTTTCATGTGAAATATTTCTATGTATAACAAATGTGCCATTGACATTTTTGGAACAAATATCGCACTTTCGTTATAATTTCTTTCTAAACTTCTACCAAAACATGGTTGTGTGCATCAAAAAACATAGTTGCAAATAGCAATCCCAGATGCAGGAGTGTTTTAACATGATGTCTTCAAACTTTCAAGGAGAAGTGAGACAGCAAGAGGATTTGGATTTTTCATGTTTCATTTATTTATCCATGTATAATGAGGGTGGCAATGGGCTGGGTGGCCCGGCCCAGTTGTAAAAACTAGGGCATGGGCCACAAAATGAGGCCCAAGGGCCAAGCCAGTAGCTTGGCCATCATGGCCCAAAGGTAGGGCTGGGGGTGGCGATGGGCCGGGTTACCCTGCCCTAATATACTAGGGCTTAGGCCACAAATTGTGGCCCAAGGGCTAGGCCTAGGCTAGGGCCAACCAAGCTTGGACTGGCCCTACCAGCCCTTTCCTCTTTTTCCTTTTCTATTTTTTTCATTTTTTATTTTTTACTTGGCCCGGCCAAGGCTGGGCATGTACCAAGGCTTCCTTTGCCCAATCCGGGCCTGCCATTGCAAGCACTTGGAAGGGCTGAACTGGGCTTAGGCCATGGTCATGACAAGGCTGGCCCAATCCCCTTTGTATTTATCTTTTTCCCTTTATTTTCCTTTGGTTCTAATTGGCCGGCCCAGCCCCTGATAGGGCCAGGGCCTCGTTGGCCCAATCCAGGCCTGCTGGCCCAATAGGGATTAGCTAATTAGTCGCCATGCCACAAGTTTGTTTTCAGAAAGTTTCAACAACCATGATGTGTAAGAAATATTTGTTTAAATATGAAATATTTGAAACAGAACATGTACTTAAAAACAGAAATAACTGTAAGAAATAAAAGGGTAAAACAGAAGAAGAGAAAATATGCAATACAAGTTGGAGCAATGGTTTGGGGTACGCATGGCATCCATTTTATATCCTTGTAAAAAAGGGTGGAGAAGAGCAACTATTTTGTGTACTAGGGGTATACTTCTGAAATTCTAAGTTGGATATGGTCTATATGAGCCGGCGGACTCATATGTACATGTTTGTCTTCTCTCTATTATCCAATTTTGAAATGGATTTTGAATCCAACATTTTAGGTATATATAGTCCTCATTAATGTGAAATAAATAAATCTTAAAAATTAAAAATATGTTTTTTTTTTTTAAGAATAAATTTGGTCTTGTGTGGGAACACCACATTTTTGTGTCCACCTTTAAGATGAATCCTTGGTGCGTCAGAGGACGCATTTGTAGAATTGCGTCCCCTGACACACCATACACTTTTCCTTTTATGTTTTGGATGGGTGAAGAGTTAAAAGATTTCAAGGGGGAAGCTAGGTGCAACTCCAACTAAGTCTTCTTGCTTCTTTTGTCAGAAATCATGGAAAATTTTCAGGAACATTTTGCAAAAGTCCTAAAACAATGAAAGGATCTATAGAGAGATTTGAGAAAAATGTTAACCAGCCAAAAAGGTGAAAGAAATAGCAAAATAAAAGAAAGACATAAAAAGGTGAGGAAATGGGGAAATGCAAGAGAGATAAAGGAGGGAGTCAGGGGAATTATGGAAACTAATGGTAATGTTGAATTGGGTATCCACAGTAACTCCAGAGGGTATGTCATGCATCTAGATCAATAAACTGCCCATTTTCTGTTCAAGTACTAAAGCCAATATTATTTGTAGGTAAATTTTACATAGCAACCTTTATAGAATAAGCCAATTCACTAACAAAAACCAACCCATTTTGTATTTGAGCTTTAGTTAATTCCATTGGGTTCAGATCGAACTAAGCAAAAGCCGAAAAAGGGAAGGATTGCAAGAACAATGTGGTACGATCAAAACTAACCTGTTCAATCAAGTTTGATCAAGAGTCAAGAGCATAATACAGATTTGTTTGAGAACTAGATCGAAATGCCCAAGCTGAACCAGTATTCAAGGAAACTTAAAACACCATTCAGAAGGCTAGTTGCAGTTCAATAGAAAGACTGAATCAAAACCATCCAGTCCAATTTCAATAACATTGACTTGGACAGATATGGCTACTGTACACCATCAAGGATAAACTGAAACTTTTTCTGTAGGCTAAGTAGGATAACCATAAACTTACGATAGATTCGTCAGTATATTGAACAAGGAAAGCCAAATTATGGATAACATCATACCAGGGCGCATGTGAAACTTGAATAATTTCCTACCATCACCATAAAATGCGTTGATTAGTTGTAATGGATGACAGTCGTACCCAAGGTATACCATTGACATAATTAGCATGGAATCTCTTGGCTACATGAACACTCTTATGTTAAGGTTAACTGCTCAAACTGATTCGAAAGCAAACTCATCTTTTAAAGTGGAACATTTCTATGAAGTTAGTGAAACTCAATCATGAATGTCAAGAGGTTCCCCGAGCCATCCATGGTAAGGTATCTTGTACATCAAGGGAATCCATAAACTAAGGATAGTGTTTCTCCTAATCTTGTCCGTGATCTAACTAGGTAAGATAAACCATGGACACCCCATTAACACTGCTGGACAAAACTGCATCTATATGGTTCCAAGTATGGGAATTATCAAATATTTGGAAGCAGTCAGAAACACAAAGGTGCCAACAGACAGCATTAATAAGAACCACAACATGATTTTAATTCAAATAGATTATAAAGGACACAAACTCGCAAACTTTTACATTACAAATTGGAAATTTTCAAGTCAAGTATATCCTCTAATCAGCATATATATGGTTTCTTTGGGATTCATTATCAACCTTTTAATTGAACAATTTTACTTTTGTATAGAGGCTACTTATTCTAAAATACACAGCAACTCTTGTCAACAATTACAAACCAGGCATGTAAGTGCTTCAGTTTGGAATCCATAAAATATACTATGGATGCAGTAGAAAACCTCTCAAAAACCACTGTTTCTTCAACATCCAAAGTCATATGACACCAGCCCTTGTAGTTCTGGTCCATGTAGTCGATTGTTGTTGTCAAAACTGAACATGGGTAAAAATAAAGTTTGATTTGATCAAAACAGACACCAGAAGAAAGAAATATTACTTAATGTGTGTGTGTGTGTGTGTGTGTGTGAGAGAGAGAGAGAGAGAGAGAGAGAGAGAGAGAGAGATACGGAAACAAAAACAGCATTAGACATAATGAAGTCACTATGCATAGATAATGACTAGAAAGTATAACAACTAACCCTGAAATTAGGCTAAATGGTTAATCCAAAACAAACATAATTATCTATTGCCATCCAAGCTTTCTTTCAAAGAAAATGCCACTCACAGAAGAGCAATTAAATAGATAACACAATTTCATATTGCTAAGAAACCTAGAACAATGGAAAATTGTGGGCAACCTCACAATTCTATACCTGCCATCACAAGAGTGATTACGGACCATTATGATGCTCAATGTCAATACTCAAAAGTGTACAAACTTTGCCTTTGTTTGATTGATAGTTGAGCTACAAAATATAACTCTATATCCATAAGTTGTCAACTAGGCAAAACTATGAAACAGGAATCAGGACACTGAAAAAAGAAAATGAAGAAGATATGATTATATGGGCAAATTTCAGGTCCCACAATTGACTGTACTGGACAAAGCAACCAAATCTACTTCTAGCTTCTAAGTCCCAATATACCAACAATACACAGGATTATAGTTGGAAACTTGCAAAATCTTCTGCCTTATAGACAATTAAAGATCAATATGGTGTTGACAGCTTGAGTGAAGTTCCACATAAAAATGATGACATTTGAGATTTTAGATTGTCCAGATTTGCTTGCCCAAATTAAAATATTAATCAAGATCTATCTTTTGTTATTTGCCTATTTCAGATCCATCAGCAGCTCCATCAGCAGCCATTAATCCTCCTCCTACGTTTATGGCCATATTTATAGAATACTAGCCAGTTGATTTAGGTTCAACTTTTTACAGGATCACAAGCAAATCTGGCCTAGGCCTCATTAGAAAAAAACTCCAAAATCAAATAAGTGACACATAGTTTAGGTTCAACTTTTTATGGGATCACAAGCAAATCTGGCCTAGCCCTCATTAGAAAATAACTCCAAAATCAAATAACGTAACATATATTTGTTATAACGTTTCCCTAAAATATGTAGGTTGTTGTTCTTAATTCTTCAAGCAAAACACAGCTATGGAAATACCTTCTGCAGATAAAAAGGTCTAAGTCAAAGATCATTTTCTGTTTGGTAAGCGGGGCTTGAGTGCACAACCTCAAGGTGAATCGTCATCATCATCCAAGCTTTATCCAACTATTTGGGTTCAGCTACACAAATTCTATTCTCCCATGCCAGTCACCATATTTTTTCTCACTATTTATAAGTTCAAGATTCATAAAAAGATTTGGCAGTTTTACAGTGGTTGCCTATCTAACACAACCCTCCTCCTTTAACCGTACTTGGGAACGGCATGGGGCGGCCAAGGCAGAGTTATAAATAAGAGGCCAAAAATTTTTAGGAATTTATGGAAGTGATCATCTTATTAGCATTTTCCCTAGAAGATCTTCCAAAATCTGGATCCACTCTTTGGGCATGAAAATTGACTCTAATAAGTTGCAAAAGATAATTATACCAGATAACTAACAAAAAAATAAAAAAATAAAACTACAAAAGAAGGATCGACTGGGCTTGAGATGTAATGCCCATCCATTTGGAAAGAACCAGACATAAGTAAAGCAGAAAATGAAACTAAAGCATTCTTAAAGGCATGAAAATTGATGAAAATAACACCGTATAAAAAAAAAAAAGAAAAAGTGTCAAATATGTAGTCATGATAATGCATGTTATCTTTAAGTGATACCAGGGGACCAATTGTAATGAAATTTCAGATATCATTAGGTCAAATCCCTATATGGATGATGCATCAGGGTACTAAAATTCCATATCCATCATAAAGAGACCTCTTGTTACAACTATAGCAATGGAAGGTTGCATGTCATTGCTACATTTTCCATCAATTTACTTTTTTTCTAAGTCTGTTGTCCAGTCACAAGAACATGATTTCATGAACCATGGCCAAACACTTGAAATGATCAAATGCTCATTCTAACTGCACAAAATGAAAAATAAACTAAACGAAATGCTTCATAGAGGAAAAAATTTCCTATGAACAAGTAATTTGATAGAAAGATGATGCATCAGTTGATTATGGCTAAACTAGATTTTCGGTAGCAGGCTACGGTCGATTTATCCAAAATTGAGAAAAATCAGTAATTTGTGAAGCCAGTGGCTCTAAATTGATGACATTTACCACTATAATAATGATATCCCATTCATTGCTCAACTTGAGAAAGTTTTGAGTTTTCTTACCTGCTTAGAGGAAAATTAGCAAATGGACCTTCGGTTGGAATTGTCCCCCACAGATCATTGTTAGACACATCACTGCACATTGAATCATTTGTCACAAAAATAAATCCAAAAATATATTCCCAATATGAAAATGATGAGTCGATAGTAGCTGTGATGCTGGTAGTGGTGTTATGAGCAGTAGTGACGGTGGGGGCAGTAATAGCAAGCAAAATAAGAAGATGTACAAGAAGAAGCAACTTTTGGAATTTTTGCTGCGTACAAGAATTTGAGGTTTGGAAGCGTTGTGAGCTCTCTAGGAATCACTCCTCCAATCCTGTTGTTGTTTAGGCGGCTACATCGAACCATCCAAAAATTAAATTAAAAAAAAAAAAAATTTCTGATAGCTAAGCGTAGGGTAGGAATTTCCAGAAAGCATAAATGGTAATTTCACATTTTGAAAATAGAAAAACACTTACAGAAATCTAAGTGACTTTAACTTCGCAAACGCCTTTGGGATTTCACCTTCGAGTTTGTTATCATACAAATCCAAGCTAATAAGATTCTTTAGATTGCCTAACTCCTTCGGTATTTTCCCACCAATATTGTTTCTATAGAGCTCTCTAAAATACCCAACATCACTTGATTAAGCACAAATTACAGTCTCTCAGGTACCACAGAAAACATTAGAAAGAGGGAACCCAAACCCAATTTATTAAGAAACTTAAAAATTAAATTAGAGAAATATCATAACACTACACAACAGTGAAAGAAAATGGAATTACAGGTATTGCAGATGTTCAAGCTTTCCAAGCTCCGGCACCAAGTGACCGGTAATATTCGAATTTCCCAGATCACTGCCCAAACAAAAAAAACCAAAGGAATGAGAGAACAATAAATTGCATCAATATGAAATTGAATGTGAAAAACATGGGTTAATATTAAGGCAAGGACTAAACTCACAGTCGGATCACACGATTGTGATCATTGCAAGTTACATGGAACCAGGTGCAGGGATTAACCAGAGTGGGATCCCAGCTTTGCAACACGTTGGTTGGATCCGACAACACACTTCTAAAAGCATGAAGTGCATTTCCTAATTGCCAAACAAAAATGTAAACAAAACAAAATATAAGAATATCCAGACTTTTTCCTAATGTAAAAACAATGCAACTAATCAATGAAAACACCATAATCTTAGAACCAAAGAAAAAATTACAGTTCATCATTTAGAAAAAATGAAAACCTTATCATTTCCAACCAAATTAACAAAAAAACAAATGGTTTCCTCATGACCCATGAACCGCAGTCGAAAAAATAAGGAAAAAACAATTGGTTTCCTCATGAAAGTCACCACTTTTAAAAGGCAAAAAAGATCTCATTAATCGCTGAAAATGAAGCACATAAAATATAAATTGAGTTAAAGACTCCTTTTACCGTCAGAATTGGTGGAAAAGCATGGAGAAAAGAAAAAGAAGGGCAAAAGCAGCAGAGAGAACAACAGTTTCATAAAATTTGAAGAATCCATGGCCATGGCTCTGCCACTGAGCTTCAACTACAGATTTTAAAATCCGCTAAGAATTTAAAAGCAATCAAAAAGTTCTTAAAGGATGCTTTTGGATTTTCTTTTGATTCTTGGAAATGGACGGATGAGAATAAATGCAGTGTTTAGAACTGGGGAAATCTGGACCGTTCGTTTTAGTGCTTTCTGAAAGACGCGGTAGTCTTGGCTTTCAATGTGGTGGGACCCATGATTTTCTTTGCAACGACCCAAAAGGACCGAGTATCTTTGCAAAAGAATTCATGGGCCCATAAAGGATCATACTGTCTATCTACACTATCGGCTAATTCTGAATATGTTTTAAACCTTAAAATTCTGTCGATAGAACCTTCTAACCCATTTGCTAAATTTAATAAAAATAATTTCAAAGCACACTCTCTATGGACTAGAAAGAAAATAAAAAAAATAAAGAATAAAAACCTATTAATTTTTTGAATTGTGAGATCTACGTATTAGAAATTTTAAATTCAATTTTTTTCTTTTGAATAAAATAATCCAGTGATTTTTAGTTGCTTTTAAAATCTTGGATCAAAGATTTCTACTGAATAAATTTTTTATCTAAAGGAGTAAGTATACAGTAAGCTCCTATAGAAGCATTGATGCACGCTTATTACTGATATAACGCTGGTGAGAGCCGGCGTCAACGCCTTCCATAAGACATAATAAAAAATGACTGCATTGTCCTTCAAATTTGCTGTTATGCCTCCCTTCTTACCTTCCAATTGCACCCTTAAAAAGAATTGTCGATCCAAGCTAAAATCAGTTTCGAGTCTTTAAACAGACCTAGTTTCTTATCGGAATTGAAAATTGATTTTATTTTTATGGATTTTTCAGTTCTGTCAAAAAGAAGCCAGCAATTTAGGTGACCAGGTAACTTGATTCTCATATATTATATCATATTGATTTTTTTTGTTTTTTTGTCATGGACCGACACTCACACAACAGAAAGAACCCAATTCAATGGCTCGATTCGAATCGTTTTTTTGGATCGCCAATTCACTCGACTGATCTGGTTTTCTACACACTCCTCCAAACAAATTGCTAGAATTAAATAGAATACAGTACAGGGTATTATAATAGAATCCCAAAGCTATACTTGCTGATGCCTTGGATTTGGGAATAATTTGTAAATTAGAGACCGAGACCACAAGATACATTACAATAAATCTTTAGGGTTTCACTTTTCTTATTTGAAATGGTGGAAAACGGCCTTTCTAGTTACAATAATAAGTGGATTAATATTTTTTTATATACTTCACTAGGGAAAGTACCACCAAAATATGGAGTCATATTATAGATTACTCAAATATATTAGTTTATTTGTGCTTTTAAAACAAAGTTCAAGGATTTGAAAAATCTACTTTACCCAAACTGATATGAAAATCGATTAGATAATACCAATCATTTTTTTATTACTTAGTTGATGTCCAACAGTTATTGCCATATTTATTGTTTTGTCAAATTTCCTAAAGTATTGCATTATTTATTAATTTACGAAAATTCCTTAGAAATATTGCAGACAAAGGCACAGTTGGACTTTTTATATGGTTTTAGTTTTCTCTTTTATATCTTTTTTCTTTGGCAAGGGAATGCAGAATAGTTGAGTCATAGGATTCGAACTTGGGATACAGTGCGACAATTTTATATTCTTTGTGCATCAATTAGTTATATTGTTCTCAAAAGTACATCAAAAATATTGAAAGGAAAAATAAAATAAAAGAATTTCATTTGCATGCCGTATTTTTTTTTTTCTTTTTTAAGAATGGGCTCAATGCTCGATGGTCAAAGTGGTGGTTGCCACAATATGATATCTTTGCATTCCTACTTCAGAGCGCTGAATTTACAAGCGCGTATTATTTTAAGATTTAATTTATGTAAGGAAAAAAGTTTATAAAAGGGCAAGTCCCTAAACAATTAAATTAAAGGTGCAGCTCAAAAATCCAATAAAAATGATGTCAAAAAATCCTCAAATCGATCATCCCAACCTTAAGATAGATAGACATGAGAAAAAATAGATTTCAAGTGGTGGAAACAATCCATCTTGTAATATATATTTGGACCAACAATTTTCAAGATTTTTTAAACATCGATAGATCTGCTCGATGTACACTATTTTTGAAGCTTTAAACTTTATAATTATAAATAAAAATAAAGTTTAAAGAAGTAAAAAAAAACTAATACCGAAAAAATATTTCGACACTATTTAAAGATACGCCTTACATTAATTGTTCGGGCCTCATAGCCCTATACAAACCACAGCCTTTATGTGATGGGTGAAGCATGGTTCGGAAGCGATAATCAAAAGTGAAAATCCCCACCAACTAAAATATAATTTTTGGTCCTTAGTTTGGGTGGGAATGGTAAAATGGTTTTGTCATAACACATATTGAATAGGGATATTATTGTAAATATGGATTGTTTGAAAAGAAATGATTCTCCATTGGCAGTCAACCTGCCACTGCTATTTGCTCCACAGAACACACGTTTTCTTCGGAGTCATCACACCAAGTGAACACCGAAGACCCGGAATTTGAATTCCATACTTCCCATAATCCCACTTAAAGGGGTTTGGTTTGTATATTGCCGAGGCCCGGAACTCTCAAAAGTAAAGCGCACCTTCAAATAGGGATAAGAAATGTGGTTTTAATATTGGAAATCTTTGTGAGAGCTTTGATATATGGTGCAGTTGGCATACGGATTCATCCGTAGCTGTAGAGGTAAAGTGTTCCTTAAAACTATATCATAGTATATAAATTTGATGAAATATGTTTTTAGGATTATCTCAAAATCTATTTTTATATCTAATTATAAAATTTTAAATTTTAAAAATCGTTCAAATCAAATAAATCTATAAACATATGAAAATCATGAAAATAGACAGTATAGATAATATGTTGTAAAATGTATTATTTCTGAGGCTTAAAATCTTTTTATTTTTCATGGTCATACATCTCAATGTCAAGATGATCAATCAAAAGGGTATTTCAACATTAAAACCACCTTTTTCGATGGATTTTTGAGGTGTATCTGTAATTCTACATTATAAGGTTGCATCCTTATATAAACGCTTTCCTTAATATATTTTCATCTGAAATTATAAAATTTAAAGTTTTAAAATAGTATAGATCGAGCGGATCTATGAAAACTTTAAAATCTTGAAAATTGATGCTCCAAAAATGTCTTACAATATGCACTATTTTCAAAACTTGAAATCTATTTTTTTTCTCATGTACATGCATCTTGATGTTGAGATGATAAATTTGAAGATATTTGGGCCTCAAAACAACCTCTTCTAGTGAGATTTTTGAGGTGGGCTCTAATTTGATTGTTTAGAGCCTTAGCTCTATATAAATATTTTCCTTTAAGAAATAGGTAGGGCCTATTGAACTGGGAAATGTTTCTATACTTCCCATACAACATAGAAGATCTATACTTCCCCAACCATCCAGCCCTCCAATTTTGATCAAGAGAGCCACTCACCGTTTGATCTTAGATCTGACGTCTAAAAGTATTTTATTTTTAATTTTTTTATACAAATTGTATGAATATGAAATTTGGTACGTGCCATCTTCTCATGGGGCGCACCTGTAAAAAATATTAAAAATAAGTTTTCGATAAAATATAATGATCAAAATACCCCTTGAAGATTTCAGGGGTCTTTTGGTCATTTTATTTTATTGGAAATATTTTTTTTTATATTTTTTGCTAGTGCAAGTTTAATAGAGGATTGGACGTCCAAAATTTGATATCAAAATAGTTTATAGAAAAAAAACTAAAACTAAAATAGTGTAAAGACGTGACATTGTGATAGGGACAATCTTAGCCTTCCATTCAAAATGGATGGTTGGATAAGGCGAAGTATATAAGTTTTATGTTGTAAGGGAAGCATAAGAGCTTGCCCTATTGAATTATCCATAAGAAAAACTAGAATTTGTATTTATGGCGTGGGTCGGTCGACGGGCTTTCTATTTGTTGGGCTGAGTATGGGCCCAAATTTAAGGTATGTAGCGCCCGACTTTTAGGCACATGGAATGGGCCCAAATCAAGTGGTGAAGGCCCACTCTGATTTTAGGTTAAGCTCGAACAAGACTTGGCGCCCCCAATAGTGATATAGACTTTTTACTGCTTTGGAGATATGGACAATTCCTTGAAACCAACTTGTTTATCACGAGCAAATGTATTTCAAGAAATCTAAACACCCAAGAACTACAAATGGCGAGAGAAATTTGAAATAAATAAAATCAAATCAAAAGAAACAAACATATGAAAGTTAAAACTACAACAACATACTACAAACTATAATCCAAGCTTCATCAACGTTCAAGTATATATGGTTTATCCTAATTAGGCTACATTTCATGAACAGTCGGCAAAGTTTAATTCACTATCAATGGAGAAAATTACAAATTTTGTGGGTATATAAAAATTATCATACAATGGTAAAAAAGTGATCAAATTGATTTTTCCTACGACATCAATCGATTCATTCCTTCGATAACATCGACCAACTCCGCCACCGCAAAAAAATACCTATAATTCCGGCCCAATATAATGGCACAATAAAACTAAGGTTTGCCAACAAAACCTGCAAATCTCTCTTTTTCCAAATCTCCTCTTACTCTTCCTATGAGAGTTCCCTTGATACACCCGTGTTACTTTTCTCTCTCTACCAATGTTTAAAAATGGGAAAAGTTGATATAGAGCCGAGGCCCCAAGCACTCAAATTATAGCTACCTCAAAAATTTCACTAGAAGAGGTTGTTTTGATGCCCAAATGTCTTCAAATTGATCATCTCGACATCAAGATGCAAGGACATGAGAAAAAAATGGATTTCAAGTTTTGAAAAGAGTGTATTTTGTAACATATTTTTGGACTATCAATTTTCAAGTTTTCATAGATATGCCGATCTACACTATTTTTGAAGCTTTAAACTTTATAAATAAAAATGAAAATATATTTTAAGGCTATCACAAAGGTTTCCAATATTGAAACCACATTTCTCGATACTATTTGAAGGTAGGCTCTA